CATTCCATGATCAGGCTTCTGGTTGAGTTGGAGGGAAGCTTTCCCATCATATAGTAACCCCAGGCCCCACTGAGTTTCTCCTGAACTGTGATTATTGGCAATTGAGAATTAATGAGAAAAGTTACAGATGTATTCAAGGATTCCCTTCTTTACATTTTGCTTAATAGCTGTCATCTTAACGCATGGCTTTTGTTTTTTTAAAAATGTAGGTATTATGAAGTTCAGTTCTTTTTAAAGAGTTTTCTTTTTTTGTAACCAATTGTGAATATAGCATGGTGGTTCCAAGCTTGGACTTTGGCGTCAGGACGACCTGAGTTCCAATTGCTAGCTCATCCACTTGCTAGCTCAAAGGCCCCAAGTAGTTTGTTTAACTTCTCCACAGCCTGATTTCCTTATCTGCAAAATGAGGGTAAGTAACATTATCTACTGTAAAGAATTAGTGTGTGAATTCAATGAGGTGATATCTGGGAAACACTTGGCACAGTGCCTGCACAAAGCACTTAATAAACATTAGCTACTATTAAGCTATTTTAAATGGGTAAAAAAAAAGTGATACCTTAGTTCTAGCTCATTGAGAAGGATGACCATGTTTTCTGCCCCTTGGAGAAATGGCAGGTCCCAAATCTGGGACAGGGAAAGTGAGCCTGAGACGGGAAATTGTGCCAGAAGGCAAGGAAGTGTTCAAAGACAGAACCAGCTTGAAGGCAGATTTACTGGCCAAATTTGGGGCAATTTGAACATCGAAATGAATTGTAACTATAATTGATAACACAATGAATAAAAAAATCCATGTGTCCCTAGTGATATTCAAAACAAGGAGGAAAGGAAGGGAAATGCTCGCTGATAAAAATAGAAGAATGCTAGAATTGCAAATCACTCTTTTGCAATCCTAAGTGAAATAAGTAATTTAGGCAAAGATTATCAATGGGACTACTGAACAAAGGTAATTGAAGAGCAAGATATTCACGTTGGGTTAAAGTATCACCTGACTTACAAATTACCAAGGGGAAAGTTTCCCTTTACAATGGTGAGACCTAGGGGTCACCACCTCAATCAAGTGATCAAACCGAGCATCACTAATAGTGCAACAATTATGCACCTTCTGACATGATGTAGTTTGAAATACTCAATACTACCCCCTATGAATCCTTACTTCCCAGAGTGATTGAGATGAATCTAATCAAGCTCATGACCTAAGTTACAGTGCACAGCAAAGAGGATAGAGGAACAAGTTAAATTATACCAAGAGGAATCAAAAAGACAGATGCAGAGTGTGGAACACACTATAAGACAACTGACCTGTGACAAAGGCTCTCTCCTTGACCAAACTTTAGGCAGGCTCCTCTGAGCACTCTTTTTGACTAGTCCTGGACCTCGGCCCCCATCCTGCCTTTGGTCTGTCCAGCCCAGTCTTAGCAAGGATCCTGCTAAGTCATCCCTCTGCCCTTGATATCAGATCACCCGTGATATTTGATCAAGTCTGGCACCACTACCCCTTGATGTCCAATCCCTTAGCCTGTGTTTAGCAAGAATCCCCTACCTTCATGTGTCCTGTTGGTAATTCCCCTCATCCTCTCTTTGGCTATAAATCCCTACTTATCATTGCTGTATTTGCAGTTGAGCCGAATCTCACTACCCTATCGCAATACCCCTATTGCAATAGTCTTGAATAAAGTCTTCTTTACTGTTTGAGAATAATTTTTCCTTAACACCTGGACACTTCAGAAAGTTAATGTCATTTATCTAAAGGTAGAATATTTTAGAAAAAAAGACATTAGAGATACATAATAATCAAATACATATAAGATACTTTGGATCCTAGATCAAAAAAGAAAAAAATCTACAAAACATATTTTGAGGACAATTGGATACATTTGATTATGGAATGGATATTACAGAATTACTGTTAATTTTCTTAGGTGTAGTAATGGTATTAGTTATGAGGAGAACAATCTTATTCCTACTAAATACCTGCATTTAGATGACAACCATATTTAGGGCTGCTGTAACTAATTGCCACAAACTGGGTAGTTTACAACAACATAAATTTATTTTCTCACAGTTCTGGAGGCCAGAAGTCCAAAATCAAGGTGTTGGCAGGGCCATGCTCTATCTGAAGTCTCTAGGGAAGGATCCGTCCTTACCTCTTCCAGCTTCTGGTGGTCGCTGGCATTCCACTGCCATCTAACAAGCATTGCCATTGTCACTAGGCACCTGCAGGTGATCCTAATGCTCTGCTAAAGTTGATAAATACTGGTTGATGTTATAAACCCACATGGATATATCTAAATCCCCTGCAATCTTCCCTCTGCCAATCTACCCTAGGATGTGTTCTTTTGAGAAACAGCATAGATTTGTGTAAAACTAAACCAACACAGCACATACCTACGACTCACACAGAGATGGCAAGTATTTCAGTGAACACTGATCAATGTAACTAACAATGTCTACCAATTTATTATTAGATATATTTCACAATAGGGAAATATATCCAAAGTAAATTTATTTCTCTTGAGCATCAACACGCTTTGGCTAGCTGTCAGTAGAATGCTTTGTGGCTCTTTTTCTAAGTGTGTCTGCCAAGTGTTAGGTGGAAATCCAGGTGGGGTTGAGGAGGAGGCTTGTGGACAGGATAAGTGCCTCTTTCACCCCTGTCTCCTCAACTGCTGCAGCCTCACTTTCACCTCTGTTGTAATATTGCATGTCTGTGTCAGATTCTGTGGTTTTTGTTTTGTTTTGTTTTTTTTGAGACAGAGTCTCGCTTTGTTGCCCAGGCTAGAGTGAGTGCCATGGCTTCAGCCTAGCTCACAGCAACCTCAAACTACTGGGCTCAAGCGATCCTCCTGCCTCAGCCTCCAGAGTAGCTGGGACTACAGGCATGCGCCACCATGCCCGGCTGATTTTTTCTATATATATTAGTTGGCCAATTAATTTTCTTTCTATATATAGTAGAGACGGGGTCTGGCTCTTGCTCAGGCTGGTTTTGAACTCCTGACCTGGAGCAATCCGCCCGCCTCGGCCTCCCAGAGTGCTAGGATTACAGGCATGAGTCACCTCGCCCGACCTGTTTTTGTTTGTTTGTTTAAAGGATTTTGTTTCTAAAAACATTTTTTACACCACCAGTCTAGTTATTGGCTTGACTAACATGGATACTCAATAAGGAATGGATTCTACAGCATATCCAAAGCAAAATAGAATTATTTTCCTCTGACAATAAAAATTTCCTTGGTGTATTTGCAAAGAGTGGCCCAGACAGGGAAAGAAAGAGTTCCCTGGCCTCGTGACAAGCTTGCATCCAGGGTTAGGCCGCACGCACACTCTAGCCATCTGTAGAAGCACACCCTGGCCGGCTGTTCTAGCAACACGGATTGGGAAGGGCAGGAGTTCTGGGCTGTGCTGTCAACAAAATGGGGCGCCTCAAACCCCCTAACTTCTCTGTGGCTCCATTTACTCAAAAGGCGGTGAGATAGGCCACAGGGACTCGGTTACTAACAGTAGTTAAGGTCCTGGGATTTGTCATGATTTACTTTTTCAAAATTACATGTGTGAAGATTTTAAGTTATTCCAAAAATAATGTCACTCTAACTCACTTATCCAGATATGCTTGCTTGAATGGGAGAAAAAAGCAGGAGTTTAAAATGAGGAATTATGCATAACCTGGATTCCCAGGTGGGAGTGTGGGCATGCATGGTCATCGTCCTTCATACAAGCACAGAAAAAGGTGGGAACGGCTGCTATACAAGCGCCTGATGGGGCATCCTTTTTATTTGTTTGTCTGGTGTTTGTTTGGAGACTAAATACTATAAGTAATGCTTATAGTATGCTATAAGCCTAGCATTGTTTCTTGCATATCTCAAGCCACAGTGAGTTTAACTTCTTCCATAATTCAATAATGATCTTTTTTGGTTACTGTTTGTGTCAAGTAACACATGGGCATAATTTTAAAAATAAAATAAATTTGAGGCTGGGCACCGTGGCTCACGTCTATAATCCCAGCACTTTGGGAGGCCCAGGTGGGAGGATCGTTGAGGCCAGGAGTTTGACACCAGCCTAGGCAATATACCGAGACCTCCCATCTCTACAAAAGATTTAAAAAAAAAAAAAAGTAAAACAAATTTAAAACAAGCAGTCATTTCCCCCTATTCCCACCCCTGGTTTCTAGAGGCAACCACTTTTTAACTTTTACCAGCTTCTCTGCCATTCTCAGTTTTATTTATTGTCTATTGTCTTCCTCCTTTGGAAAATAAGGATTTAATTATCATTGTCATATGTTTTCTCTTTCCCTATCCTCCTAATTTGCTTATATTGCAATTTCTGGTTTAATCAGTAGCCAGTGTTTATTATGACAATGTGACCATTATTCACACTGAGCTGTGTAGAGTAGTGTGATTATATTTCCTATCCAGTACAAACTTTTCCATGTTTTCCCTGGAGATAAGTATTGCCTCATTTTCTATTTGTTCAATTGTCTATATAAGTATTGCTAATTCTTCTCCAAATCCTCTATTGGAAATGTCAATCTTCTCTCCTTGTATTTAGATGTAGCAGATCACATGTCAGTTTCATTTATTTTTCTTGGAGGCGTCCTTAAGTCCTCTGTCCTCCTGCTCCTGATTCTCTTCTCCTCCCATTTCATGAGTTTCAAGTCTTCCTCTTGATTCTATTTATTCTTTTGTTTTCGTGGAATATATTATTTAATAGTTTCCTGAGAAAGGCTGCTTAGGAGGAAAAAAAAATTGAAATCTTACCCTTCTGAAAATGTCATTATTCTACCTTCACACTTGCATGTTAGTTTGGCTTCCTATAGGTTGGAAAGAATACTGTTTAAGAATTCTGACCAGCAATGTTGTTCTGAGCAACATAGTGAGAACCCCATTTCTACAAAAAATAGAAATATTAGCCAGGTGTGGTGGTGCACACTTGTAGTCCCAGCTACTTCAGAGGCTGAGGCAGGAGGGTCACTTGAGCCCAGGAGTTTGAGGTTGCTGTGAGCTATGATGACACCACGGAACTCTGGCCAGGGCGACAGAGCAAGACCCTGTATTAAAACAAACAAAAAAAATTATTCTCCTCTCTCTGCTCTTACCTCTTTTATGGATTTATGCTTTTTTAAAGAGTCTTTTTACTTACAGTTTAGCAGGGTTTGGGAAGGAGGCTGGGGCATGTGCACACGTTCAATCTGTTATGTTTTATGGGAAGTCCTCAGAGCCCATAGAACCTTCAACCCTCGTTTTACTGAAGTAGACGTCCTCATAGCAACCGACTCCCAACTTCAAAATGGAGATCAAGGAGAAGCATGACTTGGTTCACATCGTTTTAAGAACAATTTCCAAAACTGCTTTTGGCCTATGTGGTTAGGTCTGAATTATCACTCTAAATATAATTGTGTATGGTGAGTGGACTGTGTATACACAGCTCAAAGCCAAAGCCCCAGCCCTGTCCCTTCTGATGAAACACCAGTGCCCACAAACAGAAGGTTCCCTTCTCTCTCCTTCGCTCACCCATGGAATAAACAGGAAAGTCTCTTGGGGCTGTGGTCTTGGGGCTATAGCCCTGCCCCTCATTTCCTCAGACCCTTTACTGAGAACTGAGTCATTGCGACATCACGCTCAGCCAGCTGTCTCAGCACAAGAAAAAGCTTTGCTGTGGTGTGAGGTTTTGTGGGCTGCAAACTACATCTAGGTCAGCAAATTAAACTCCACAGCGTGGTTACCAATTCCAGCTTTATCTAGCTTAAGGGCTGTCTGATTTCACCCTCTGGGCACTGGCTCTTCTGGTACTTGGGATACAAGGCCCCTCTGTGGGTGTTTAAGGCATAGCACTTCAGGCCTAAACCACTGGATGACACACGCCTAAACCCAGAATCTTACCTTCCCCGCCAGCGCTCCAGGGTACGTGAGGGCAAGCATACTCCAACCCTGCAGATGAAGAGATTGTGTGTGCAGAACTTTCACTGACCACTTGTGTTTCTCTCCTGGCATGCTTTGACCCTACCATGAGATGAGCCAACCCCTTCTTTCCTGGTTCTGTTTCACAGACATTTTTAAGAATGAATGGTTACCAACAGGTGGCCAGCTGGTCTACCTAGAAAGGGACTTACAATGGGGAGAGGTCACCCTGGCCCAGAGTCTGGATCTCAGATGTATAGCAGATAAAGCCCTCAGAGACTGAGTCATGTTAAAAATTCAAAAACAACTCAGCAAATATTTATTTGAAGGCATGTTGCTCTTCAAGGCTTTGGAATACCGACATGACAACCAGAATCACTGCCTCCCAAGAGCTCGCTGACTATGAAGGAAGACCATTCTAGTGGATGGCTACATTGTTTACTACCCAGCACCCATTACCCCTTCTCCTGAAAATAGTATCTGGGGATGACCTCCTTAGTCCGTGTCCTTTCAGTGGAACTGAACCCATTCCTGGCTCTGGAGCTGCGGCATAGACTCAGGCCTGGCTGCGGTGGTCAGTTTAGAGATGGACATGTAACCTGATCAAGGCCAATGACATGCATAAGATTTTTTTGCTAGTATTGTTCAGGGAGAGGTACTAAATATATGCTGCTAGGATTGGTACTAATAATTTGTCTCAGCTCGTTAGATTGGGTTTTCTGTCATTTTCAATCCTGAAAGAGATCTGTGTCGCAGGTGGAACAGTGTTGTTCCCCAACGCTGCCAAATTCATATCCACCCAAAACTTTAGAATAGGATCTTATTTTTTAAAAGGGTCTTTGCAGATGTCATTAGTTAAGGATCTTGTCTTGAGATGAACTCATTATGGATGTAGACGAAGCCCTAAATCAAACAACTGATGTCCTTGTAAGATGAGGAGAGAACACAGAGAGACACAGAGACACAGAGAAGAGGCCTTGTGAAGCAAGCAGAGTTTGCAGTGATGCTACCACAAGCCAAGGAACGCCTGGGCCACCAGAAGCTAGGGCGAGACAAGGAAGGATCTCCTCTTTAGCGCTGCCTGAGGGACAATGGCCCTACTGACATGTTGGCCTCCAGAACTGTGAGACGATACGTTTCCATTGCATTGAGCCACCCAGGTGGTGGTTCCTTGTTACAGCAGCTCCAGGAAACTAATACACTCTTAACACATGAATCATTCAGCACATACTTATTGGTGCCTAATATGTGTCTAAAGAGGTCTTAGGATAAAATTCAGAGAAAAGGGATGTGGAAAATGTAGAGAGAGATTTGAGCTGATCAGATTAAGGTTAACTAGTTGGGGCAAGAACATTTCATATCACATGACATCAGGAAGCCCATAATGTCTTGTGGCCCTTATATGAATGATGCTAAATTTGGTCACTCCATCACAGACTTTTATTTTATAGCTACTTATTTTCCTTGTGAACTAGCAAGTAGTTCTGTAGGTGATATTTTGGCACCACACAAACATCCTGTTTCTCAGCGAGGTTTCACTACTGGTTTTTATCACTCAGTGATATCCTAGCCCGAATCAATTCTTTACTGGTTGCCCTCCCAGCAATTTAAACTTAAGCAAGTTTGGCCCTCCTAAGGCTATAGCATAGGAATACCTTAACATATAGTAATTAATATGTACCATAGGATGAAGCTAAATCTCTTATCTTTAGAGAAAGAGAAGCCTTTCTCTTTCCTGATATCCTCTGACCTAACTTCTCAGTCTGTGGAGACCAGGCCTGACTGGTAGGTTCGTTGGTGCCTGGAAACTAAACATCAGAAGAATTTTTTGTTATCTTTGGTTGTGGTGCCTAAACACAAGGATCAGAACCATTTGGGGTTAGGATGGGGAAAGTGCCAAGGTGAAATCAAACAAATGAAATAAATACGTCTGAAATTGTGGCAGGATAAGCTGAGGTGAAGATCCCAGCAGACTAAAAGAATCAGGGAAGGCGAGAAGGGGAGCCCTGCCCAGAGATCTAGCAGAATGGTGAGAATCTGCTTGCTTTGAGAGACAGGCTTGGAGGCAGGGCTTCTCTGTCTTCCTAGCAAATGCTGGTTGGAGTGGAGTAGGGTTGGGGAGAAGGGGATGTCCCGTGGGCCAGGTTAACTGGAAGAAGTAGGAGAAACCAAATGATGCCAGAGGGTGTGGCACACCGAGCTCTGTCCAAGCAGAGAGAAAGGCTGAGGTCAGAGGCCAATGAAAGTCATCCGTTCACACAGTTGGCAAGAATAAGAGAGAACCGGTGGAGGTACCCACAGAGCCAAGCGCTGCACAGGAGGGAAAGCCTCAGGTTATCCAGGAAAACTCAGTTTCTGTGTGCAGACTAGAAAGGAGGGGGGCGGCTACAGGAGCCCCCCGGCAAGTCAGGCCCCCAGCACCTCACCCTACCTCTCTCCCTGCCACCCACGCCAGTACCTGGAGCTGCAGGAGCCTGGGGAGAACATTCGCTGCAGCCCGTGAGAACACAGGGCAGCGGGGCTGGCCTGGCGCTGCTCTCGCGTCCTCCCCTGCACTCCTGCCCCTGAAGGCCCGCTCCCTGGCGTGCCTAGGAAGGGCTGTAGGAGCTTCCTGCAGCGTTTCCCCATTACCTTAGCGTTTCAGCACCTGGAAGAGATTAGTGTCACTGGCAAACCTGCAGAGCTCATTGTGCACTTCCTCTTCAACGTGAGTTGTAAAAAAAAAAAAAAAAAATAGTTGAATGAGATCAGTTCCAGCACTTTCCCTAGCAATCTATGTAAAATCTATAGAGGAGTGTCTATTTATCACTACCCTGGGGTTTCCTGTTTTGAACCTGGCCTGTTCTTGGCAGATACTCTACCCCTGCTTCATCACACTGAAAGACTTGGACGGACTTAACCCTCTCCCTTCCCCCTTCCCCCCCTCTCCCCTGCCCTGCCCCTTCTGAGTGCAGACACACAGGCCGGACTTAGTCCTCTGGGGACAGGTGACACAGGAGAGGTGACCAAACCACACTAGCCACCCTGACCTTTGGTCTCTGCATTTTCCTCTCTCCTTTCTTTCCCAGGTGACATTTCATGCAAGGTGGGAGACTGTCCCCTTCATTTTGGGGGTGTAGAGAAAACGCAGGCCATCTGGACAAAAGCTTCTCTTGCTGTTTTCAGAAACAGAGAAATCCTTAATGTGGGCTGTTGGTTACAAAGACCTAACAGATTGAGTTCAAAAGCAAACCCTTGGCCCAGCCTAGACTGTTCAGAAAACAATGGGGAAAAAGTCATTAAATGGAGGTGGATAATGAAGATCCAGGATCACCTCTAGAAAACTAGCTGGGCAGTTGTAAGTCCATTTTTTCCTGCATTATTAAGTCATCATTATATGCTGACTAGATGCTATGGGCTGAATTGTGTTCCCCCAAACTCATGTGTTGGTGCCCTCACCCCCAATGTGACTGTATCTGGAGACAGGACCTAAATCAGACGAACAAGGTTAAACAAGGTCAGAAGAATGGGACCCTGATCGGATAGGATTAGTGTCCTGGTAAGAAGAGACACCAAAGAGCTTGCTCTCTCCCTGCGCCGCCCCCATGTGAGGACACACAAGAAGGTGGCTGTCTGCAAGCCAGGAAAACAGCCCTCACCAGGAACCACACTGGCTGGCACCTGGATCTTGGACTTCCCAGCCTCCAGAACTATGAGACGTCTCTGCTGTTTAAGCCACCCGAGCTGTGGTACTTCGTTGCGGCAGCCCGCTCCCAACAAAGCGATGACTGTTGATCCTGCGTCAGAACACTGCTGGGTCCCACAGGGCTGACCCGCTAGCCTTAACACCCTGTCCCTGAAGCCCTCTGGAGATAAAATTATAATAGCTACATCATTCTGCTTACATCCTCACGACAATTCTGCATGGAGATCCATTTTGCAGGCGAGGAACGAACCTCCTAGAAATGAGATAACTTGCCCATAGCCACACGACTGGTCTGTCGCAGAGATGGCATTGAGCAAAGGCTGGTCTCCTCTTAATTCGGGCGGGGCTCTTCCCCTCCACCTTACTGTCTCCTTCGTCCTACACAGAAACAAGGTCAGCTGTGAGGTGATCACAGTGACTCCAAGAGGGCCAGAGCTCGAGCCAATAACCAGGGGCTCCGCTCTGGGAACGCTTCCTCCTCCTGCTGCATTTGGGCAGCGAAGGCGAGGAGATCCCGTGAGCAACCAGAGCAGCAACATGGCACTTGGTCCTTGGCCCAGTTATCTAGTTTGCTGTGTAACACCCAGTTTGCTGTGTAACAAACTGTCCCAAAACGAAGCAACTTAAAACAGCCACTGTCTTATTTTGCTCCCAACTCTGGGCTCTGCTGGGCAGTTTTCCGCTGGCCCTGCTGGTGGCCATCCGTGTGACGTCCACGTGGGGTCTGGCTAAGCTGGCGTGAAGCGGGAGTGCTGGGTGGGCCTCTCCTGTGCCAGGTTAGCCAGACTTCCCACCAGGCAGCTCTGTGGTGGGGGGGAGGGGATCGAGACTGCAAAAGCAGAACTGGATCCCAGTCCAACTTCAACAGGATGGAGATCAATTTTTAAAAATAATTCCCTCAGGATTTTCTTTGGCTGCTCATCTAGGGGTGTATTGGAGAATCTGGCCTCCGTGGGGTTTCATCCTGTGTGGTCAGTACAGGTTTCTAAGGTGGCGTTCCTGCTGCCACCCTCTACTGATAAAAGGCAGGAACTAGCCCAGCTCAGATTCCCACAAGGGTGTGACTCCCAGAACTCGTGGTTCTTTGGAGAGCCACCCACATGACAGACTCCCAGTCCTACCATGGCCTTGCATCGTCTCTGCCAGAGATCAATCCCTGATCTCATTGGCCAGGTGAATTTCCATTTGATCTGAACTTCCTGTCTCCTGGCGGCTCGAACCCTGACCACGAGAGGCCCCCGCCCCTGGCTGGAAGGTACGATGTACAGGTGTCCCCTCGGTGACATATGGCACCATGGACTGGCTCCCATAATCCTTGCAACAGGTTAGAACTATCGTCTTCTCTCTAGCAACAAGGAAACTGCAGCACACAGGTGTGCAGGGATTCGCCTGGTGGTCCAGCTTCAGGATTTCTGCCCCTTGCTGTGGGCAGGACGGAAACCCTAAGGATGCGAGGGCAGGAAGGAAGGGCAAGGCCAGGGGACGTGGGGACGTGGGTCAGGCCTGGGAAGTAGGGGCGTTGGAGCAGGCACCCTCCAAACCCAGGAAGCAGCAACACGAAGGAACATGGGGAGCAAACACACGGCTGTGCCCCCAAGTTCCAGGCAGCACTGTCATTTAAAAAAATAGGTAGGCCAGGCACAGTGGCTCACACCTGTAACCCTAGCACTCTGGGAGGCCGAGGTGGGCAGATAGCTCAAGGTCAGGAGTTCGAAACCAGCCTGAGCAAGAGTGAGACCCCGTCTCTACTATAAATAGAAAGAAATTAATTGGCCAACTAAAAATATATAGGAAAAATTAGCTGGGCATGGTGGCGCATACCTGTAGTCCCAGCTACTCGGGAGGCTGAGGCAGAAGGATCACTTGAGCCCAGGAGTTTGAGGTTGCTGTGAGCTAGGCTGACGCCACAGCACTCACTCTAGCCTGGGCAACAGAGTGAGACTCTGTCTCCAAAAAAAAAAAAAATATAGGTAAAATAGAACATAGACCAAAACGCTATACGGTGAAATAAATGCAGGTCCCCTGCACATGACAGTGCACGTGTGGCAGATGTGTGTTTGTTGCCATTTATTCAGCGAGATATCAGAACACAGCTTTCTCTTCTGCACTCGGGCAGGGTCTGATATACCCCTTGATGACATGTCAGGGAGGTGCCATCACTTTCACGCTTACTTGCAATGACGCAAAACATCCCACATACGAGTAGTAAGAAGTCTAATTTAAAGCAGATCAGAACTTCAAACTTACATCCAATTCAAAGGCTCTCCCCTCTCCCCGCCTCCAGGCAGAATGGCCCAGCAGCCCCAGCAGTGGGCTGTGGCCTGTTCTGACTCCTTGTCCCACCCCATGGCCAAAGTGGCCCCACCCCAGCATGGCGGGCTCTTCCGGAATGAGGAGGGAGGGCTGTCGGTGCTGGCCCCCTTCTCAGTCTGCTGGAACAGACACGCACGGCCCAGGCAGCTTCAACCGCACAAACTTACCGTCTCACGCACGGCCTGGAGGTCCAAGATCAGGAGTCTTCTGAGGCCGGGCTCCGTGGCTCATAGACAGCCACCTTCTCCCTGCGTCCTCTCACTCGTTTCTCTCTCCTGGTCTAGGCTCAGATTTCTCCTTCTTCCAAGGGCGGGCCGTGTTGGATGAGGCCCCGCCCTAGAGAGCCCCTTCAAACTCAAATACCTCTTTCAAGACCTTATCTCCAAACACGGTCACAGAATGTGACTGGGGGACTGGCGTGGAGGACTTCAACACATGAACTTAGTGGAGGAGTAACCATTCAGCCCACGGCTGTCCCCCTCGTGGAAGCTGTGTGGGATTTCCGGAGCCCTGTGCGTGGCGCTGTGCCTGCGTGACCCTCCCTCAGCTCCCCCGGGCCCCGTCCCGGCAGGCTCTGGGGCAGCCCCTCCCATGGCCCGCCTCGGGCCCAGGGGGACCCTCAGCACCGCTGCCCCGGCCACCTCCTGCCCCCGCCCGCCATTGCCAGCGCCCTCTACCCCTCTGTCCTCAGATGCCTCCACACCGGGGGCCAGCTCCGGTCACTCTGCAGTCCTGCCTCCCCCAGCGCTGGGGGACACTCCTCAAGCCCCTGAGAACTTTCGTTATGGCAGCACCCAGACCTGGGATTCGGACACTTGGTGACAACCTGGCCAGGGTAGAAAATTCTGGGCTCCCTTCCTGATGGAGACCCCTCCTGTCTGTGACGGCAACTCAGTAAGCCCTTCCCTCTCAGCTGCGGGGAGGCCAAACCCTCCACAACCCCACCTGGAGGAGAAAGCACTGGCTCTCTTCTAATCCACCTGCCTTTCTAGAGGCGGGCGGTGGGTGATGGGTGACGACGCTGCAGGAGAGGTGGCTGCCTCTTAGGAAGCCTGGCAGGGATGGATCCTCAGCCTCTTTGTGGGAAGTGTGGACAATTATGTCCCATTGTCTTCGTTTGGGGGTTGGGGCTGAAAATGCAAGTCCTCATCCTACTCCATGCATGTATATGCTTCTTCCTTAAAAAATCAGAAATAGTAGCATATTAAACACAGCGTTCTAAATCTTAATTTTTTCCCTTTAAACTGTATGTTGGAGATGATCTGAGGTTAGTCCACAGAGCTGCCTTAGTCTTCTCAATGCCTTCATGGTGTGCCATTGCATGGATGCCCAGGGTTTACTTAACCACGCCCCTACTGGGGGTTTCCAAGCTTTTGCTACTATTAATATAAACAACACTGCAACAAATACACATATCTATTAATATCTATCTACGTCACTTTTGCATGTGTTTATCTGTTGGAAGAATTCCTAGAAGTGGAATTTCCAAGTCAAAGGGTATGTGCGTTTGTTATTTAATAGGCACCTGTGTTGACAAGTTGCTGTCCATATAGGTCGGACCCACCATTCCCTTCAGCAATGTTTGAGACCACCTGTTTCCTGTTTTCCTGTATCTTCTCCAACATGCCAACAAAGTGTTATCAAACTTTGCCCAAGTGATAGGCAAAAAATGTAGACCCTCATTCTACTTTAACTTGTCGCTCTGTACCGTGAGTTAGGTTGACCATCTTGTCACATGTTGAAGGGCCACCGGTCTCTTCTCTTCTTCTCAAGGCTAGAGTTACGTAATGCAGCATGGTGGTTAGCGCTGTGGG